CTTTTTCGTGCCACCCCTCCTCGACTGAGGGTGGACTTCGCCATCGCTATGATGTGTATTTTTACTGATTTCCTCGGCGACAATCTCTTGGCTCCGGGCTATGAACTCTTCATTAGAGAGAATGGTGTACCAGGTGAGGTCTATGATGACGGACTCGGTGACTGTCGATCCGTCACCTCCTTTCAGGCATGGGCTTTGGCCTTGCTGTGTCGATCATCACCATGTCGTACATAGTGGGAAGATGCTTCTCCTCCGCCGTCATGGGGCCCATTTCTGATCACACTGGTCGTTGGAATGCGATTCTTATTTGCGAGCTTCTAACAGCAGTCGGATTTCTCATGCAGGTGATTCTCTTTGTGACCTCGACGACTTCGATTATACAATGTATTATCTTTTGTGTCAGGCGCTGTCTTGGAGTTTTTGGTCACTCGTTGGCTTTCGCTTTTTCACCGGCTTCGTGGGTGGTACAAGGGTCGTTATTATTGTGTAAGAAGTCATCCACGATGGTACCTCTGGGTCTACAATTATTTTATCCAGTGGCTCCTCTTCGCTTATTCGTCTGATACCCCCTCAGTTCGTCCTCATTCCAGGTACATAACCGATTGGATGTCTGACCGCAACATGCTTACTTTCTGGATGTCCTTCATCCCAATTGTCTCGAGCGTCTCGTCATTCGCTGGTCCGTTCCTCGGTGGAATGGTCGCTCAGGTGACAAATTGGGTATAAGGCTCTTCTTGCTCGCAATGAGAGACTGTAATCTGCAGTTTGGACACCTCGTGCGCGCCAGACTCTAGGTGCGGAACAGTATGTTCTTCAGGCCGATGAATCAGCTCCCTTGAATCCGGCTTATGTCGGGCTCACTCTGAATGCCGCCAGCTTTTTCCTGGTTCTCTTCTGCATGAGGAAGTCTCCGAAGGACGCCGGGCTTCGCCTGTGTGCATCTAAGAGGAATGAAACCGCTTCCGTTGCGGAATCTAAACCGAGCAGCATTGCGGGACCTCTTGTCGAGTGGTAGGGTGAGATTATTTCACTTGAAAGATCAGTATTCGGAGGACATCCTTTCAGGAGAGCCGTGTGCCTCTGGTTCTTGCTCTGTGGTCTGTCCAGTGCTGGGACTCAAGGATGGTCCCTCCTCCTGGTTACCATTCAGAAGGAACTGGGCCTGTCCAGCATCGTGCTTGGGTCCATAAGTGGATGGTGTGGTCTGATGATCATAAGTAGGACTGCCACCTTCTCATCAGTCCTATAACGGTTATATTTTCAGCTGGCCAGCTGGTAGTCCTCCCTTTCCTCTTCCATCGACTCAAATTTTCCGAAGGCGCGGTTGTCGTCTTTGGTTTTGTTCTGGCTCCCTTCATTATTATCCTCGGTTTCGTCACCAACATTTGGGCGACAATTGCAATCGGCTCCCTGTTCTCATTGGGTGTCCCCTTGACCATGACGATGGGCTTTGCGGTACGCGGGGGAGGTCATTTCGAGTTGAGTCTCATCCGTTTGAGGATTATATCCCCAAGAATCTCCAAGTAGATAACGTCGTTGGGTGTTACCGGATACAGTGTTATCGGTACTCACCCGTACCATTGTTCCAATGTGACGTGTTGACTCGCTCAGACCTTTTCAAGGCTCTGCGATCCGACTATGAAAAGCTCCATCATGGGCATGCTGGCATTGAGCCTCAACTCTCTCAAG